CTGGGCGGCCCCGGAGGCGTCGGCAGCGCCAGCGGGAGGCGCCCCTGCAGGACTCCTCTCGGGGGCCGCGGGGCGAGGCCGGCGCGGCGCGCGGGCCGGTCTGCTGCGGTCGGGGGTCTTGGAGGGGCCCAGGGGCACAGAAAGAAGCAGACAAAAAATAGCAGGCTTCCCCACATGTTCCTATATTTCCTGGGTTTTTCTCTCCCCCTCCCGCTTCCCATATTTTCCTATACTTTCTCTGGGGAACCGACGATGACTTGTGCCTGTGTGTTTCTGTTTCCCTCCTGAGATCTTGTGACCCGGGTCAATCCAACGAGGGGGTGGCGGTCGAATTCCCCTCGCGGGCGACTGGGTTGATAGCAACATCCGCTCGTGTAACACCACAGCAGAGCGGCCTGGCGGCGCCCAAAGGTGTGGGGTCAAGGACCTCGGCCGACGGAAGGGTGTCGGGGATCTTCTGACCCAGGTCAGTCCAGACCCTGGTCAGTCTGGCATTGCAGGACCCTGCAGGATCCTGCCAGATCCTGCACCCGAGCCTGGGCCAGTGCGCAGGGTCCTGCAAGATTAGATCCTGCAGGATCCTGCACTCAGGCCAGGGTCAGTGCGACCCTGGCCCTGCAGGATCCTGCAAGATCGGGCGCTCTGGCTGACCCCCGTTTGCACTGACCCCCCGTCCCTGGCCATCGCTCGGACGTCCATTCCCTGTGCTTTTTTCGGCTTCGTGCGTGGCTTTTTCGCCAAACGATCCAGGATGCTCCTCGATGGTCCTCGCCGAAGGAAAAATGCACATGTCCGAGCGATGCCAAGGTCCCAAGGCTCCCGATGCCGGAGCCCGCCGCCGCCGCCGACCGACGCGCGATCGGCGCCGCGCGCGGCGGGTCGGGCCCCGACCCCGAGCGTCAGCAAGAGAAGCCTCGGAAGCCTCGCGCGGCGACTGGAGGCCCACGTTGTGCCGGATCCGCGTACCGGGTTTCCGTCAAATCCATGTCGGATCCACGTCGGGTTCACGTCGGGAGTGCGTCGGAGTGCGCCAGATTGCGTCGAACTCACGTCGGATTCGCGTCGGACTTACGTTGGCGCATCGCCGCGCAAGCGCCGACCCATATCTTGCAGAGCGGACGTGTGGACAAGATGATGGATGATGTCACTATTGACCGTCGCTCGAAGCCTCCAGCAAATTCATAGAGCGAACGTCGAACAACCGTACGCTATAAGCGCGTGGTCAGAAGCAGAAGCAATGGCGCGCAGAGAAGCGCAGCGGAAGATCTGCAGCGCAAGTTCGTGGAGGGGCAGGCGGAAGGGGAGAAAGGAACTGGACAGAACTGAGGGTATCTGATTTCCTGCCAGGACGCACGCGCAATACAATTCTCACTCAGCTGCTGGCGGCACTCTCGATCAAACATTGCACACGAACGATCTCAACCATAGCGGGCCTGCCACTACAATCGTGGCAGGCTCCACGTTGAGCACGTTGAAAAATTCAATGCGGAAACTTTCCCCGGGGTCCCCTCGCCACACCGTGGGAGCATCAAACAACGGGGAAGCAAAGCCAGCCCGGAGCCGAGCGTTGCTTAACGGGGGACGATCATTGGGAGGGGGGGGACACGTGCACCTTTCGTGCCCCTTTTGGGTCCCAGGGGCCCGGGTCAGGACCCCTTTAGGGCACAATCATCTCCTCCCCATTCACCCGATGTATCGCCCCCCCCCACCATTGTCCATTCATCGTCCCCCCAAATACCCAGTATCTCCCCATTACCCATCTGTTTTCGATTGTGGATAGTTAACAATGTGTTTCTAGCACGCTATGTGGGGCAATCTACGTGGTGCAATTCACCAATGCTCGCAATGCATTGCCAACTCCACTGTTCGCGAAGACATCCCACCCACCCACCCGCAACTTGGTTTGCGAAACCCATGCGACGGCGATTGCGATGAGTGCTACCGACTGTGCGGGAATATACCCCCCCCATTGGTCGCCCCCCCCATGACGCAAAGCTGAGGGGCAACGATAGGGAGGACTGGCATAGGGGGGATGCATCGACCTGGAATCGGCGATACATCGCCAATAGATCGGCGACAGGCCTCCAATCGTGAGTCCGCACCTTCCTGGACACGTTGGGGCTATCGGGCCCCTATCGGCGATCGATGGGCGATTGGGGGTCGATGCATCCCCTCCTATGCCTATCACCCCCTATCGTTGCCCCTGAAACGCCCGACTGGGGAAGATGCGAGAACTTCCGGGGACGCCGTGCTGAAACATCCGCACATCGGGTCTCTGGGGACGCTGCGCGGCGGCGAGCACCGCTGGGAGCCCATGATGTGAAGAGATTGCGACGTTTTGGATCCTGGCGTCTCAACTTTCACTGAAGGGGCCCCGGGACATTCAAATTCGCTGGCCCAACGGGCCAGAGGCGTGCTAAGATCTCCGGTAACGTCTATATAATACTGCTAAGATTTATGCTGGGCGTGCTAAGATGCTGGGCGGCCCCTGGGGGTCCCCAGACCAAAAGTACCCCGGGCGCGGCCCGGGCGCGGCCCGGGAGACACCCCCAGGGCTCTCAGGATCGCCCCAAGAGGGCCCCACGAGGCACCCAACACGGTCAAAGAGAGGCCCGAGACGCCCGAAGATCGCTCCACGACGCCGAAGCTGGCATCCAGACGGTTCAAGAGGCCTCCAAATGGCCCTAGAGGCCTCCAAGATGCCCTAAGAGGCCTCCAGGAGCACTCCCAAGAGAACCCGCAGAAGCAAAATTCATTGCTTCCCTGAGGTTTTGAACAGATTTGGGCGTTTCCACCTTTTCGGCTTCCTGACGCCCCTAGACGGCTCAAGAGGCCCCCAGAATCGCCCCAAGAGGGCCGAAGAGGCCCCCAAGAGGGCCCCAAGACGGCCAAAGACGGCCCAAGACGGCTCCAAGACGGCCCAAGATGCCCCCAAGACGGCCAAAGAGGGCCCCAATAATGCCTCAAGAGGGGCCCCAGAAAGGGAACACGAAACAAAATCTCGAACTCTCGGCCCTCAGATGCCCCCAGGAAGCCCCAAGAGGATCACAAGAGGCCCCAAGAGGCCCCCAATACGCCCTCAGGAAGTTCCTCAGAGGCCCCCTAGAGGCCCCCAAGCGCCCTCAAGAGGCACCCCAAATGCCCCCCAAGCACTCAACCAGCCAGCGATCATCATCATCCTCCTCCTCCTTCTCCTCCTCGTCCTCCCTCCTCCCTCCTCCATCCTCCCTCCTTTCTCCTGCCTCCTCCCTCCTCCTCCTCCCACCTCCTTGCTCCTCCTCCTCCTCCTCCTCCACCTCCTCCTCCTCCTCCCTCCTCTCCTCCTCCTCCTCCTCCTCCTCCTCCTCCTCCTCCTCCTCTCCTCCTTCCTCCCTCCTCCCTCCTCCTCCTCCTCCTCCTCCTCCTCCTCCTCCTCCTCCTCCTCCTCCTCCTCCCTCCTCCTCCTCCTCATCCTCCTCCTCCTCCTCCTCCTCCTCCTCTCTCCTCTCCCTCCTCCTCCCCTCCCTCCCTCCCTCCCTCCCTCCCCTCCCTCCTCTCCCTCCCCCTCCTCCCTCTCCCTCCCTCCTCCTCCTCCTCCTCCTCCTCCTCCTCCTCCCCTCCTCCCCCTCCTCCTCCTCCCCATCCCCTCCAATTTCTCTTCGACACAATACAAACTCTGCGTTTGAAAGGATGGACATTGTTGGCCAGGCTGCCCATGGTTGGACAGGCTTGTCCTGGGCAAGCAGGTCCCTGGCGCTCCTGGCCTCTTGGGGGGTGGACGACTGGCCAGGCTGGGCGCGGGCCCACCCGGGGGAGCAGCGCGAGGCTTACCTTGCGGACGTCTCCTCCCAGGTCTCGCGCAGGTGCCTGGCGAAGTGGCAGGCCAGGGCGCGCCAGCATGAACGGCCAGTCCTTTTGCTTTCGCTTTGCGAGGGGCCTGTGGGGGACCTTGCGATAGCTCTCCGGCCAGAGCTTGGCTGGGAGGTACTGCAGGGGATGCGGTCCATCAGCCGCTGGCGGGCGGACCTGCCAGTCCTAGGGCACGTTGGTGGGCGCCGCTCCTGGGCAGCCGCGCAGTCCTGCGTGCTGTGCGGAGCGCGGCGCCGCAGTCTCTCGTTTCACGCGTGCAGCGACTGCCCGTGGACACAGGCGGGACGGGACGCCTTCTGGGCGGCGCGGGCGCAACAGCAGCCGCCATCCCCGGAGTGCTGCACGCTGGTGCTGCTGGGGAGCTCCCGCCCCGGCCGGAGCCCAGAAATCCCCCTCCGCTCCTCCGCCCCCCTGCCTCTCCCCGCAGGCTGGGCCGCGCCCCTCAGCCGAGCAGGTGTGGGGGCGAGGGTGCCGCACCCCGGGGAGGGTCTCCTCCGGCCTTCTCTCAACGCCTCGTAGCTGCGCACTGCGGTGGCATCAGGGTTGGTACGGACGGGCGGGACCCCAGTGGAGGTAAGCCGAGAGCTCTCACACTGCCCATCCCGACTCCGCGTTTCTGGTGTCCTCCTGGCACTTGAGGCAGCTGGGTCCCCACTGGGAACGGCCCATCTTCCCCCCGGTCCCTGGAGGAACGTCCAGCTGCAGCCTTCTCCTCTTCCGGGAAAGCCCGCTCCGCGGGTAAGTAAGGGAGGAGGGTGCAGCTGGCCCTCCTGTGCTCTGCGTGGTGGAGGCGGAGAGGTCCCAGGGGGGGTCGCCCCCTGAGGTCTCTGGGACCGAGTTGCGCCGTGACGCTGCGGTTGCTGGATCCCCGAGACAGGCGGTGGGCTGTACCCTAGCCATCCCTGAACGGGAGGCGCTGCTAAAGGGGCTGTGCCCGCGGCCCCACCCGATGCCTCCCCAGGCCACCACCACCACCTCCTTTCTCCTGCCTCCTCCCTCCTCCTCCTCCCACCTCCTTGCTCCTCTTCCTCCTCCACCTCCTCCACCTCCTCCTCCTCCTCCTCCTCCTCCTCGTCCTCCTGCTCCTAACTCCTCCTCCCTCCCCATCCCTCCTCCTCCTCCTCCTCCTCCTCCTCCTCCTCCTCCTCCTCATCCTCCTCCTCCCCATCCCCTCCAATTTCTCTTCGACACAATACAAACTCTGCGTTTGAAAAGATGCAGGGGTCCCAGACAGGGAACACGAAAAAACATTTCGAGACACCAGCCCTAAGAGGCCCCCAGGAGGCCCCAAGAGGCCCACTAGAGGCCCCCAACAGGCCCTCAGGAAGCTCCCAAGAAGCCCCCTAGAGGCCCCCTAGCGATCCCAGGAAGCCCCCAAAATGCCCCCCCAGCACCCAAGCAAGTGCCAGCGATCCTCCTCCTCCTCCTCCTCCTCCTCCTCCTCCTCCTTCCCCTGCTCCTCCTCCTCCTCCTCCACCCTCCTCCGAGGCCTCCATGCTCCCTGGGCCTCCATGCTCCCCGGGCCTCCCTCCCTCGCCGCCGATTTACACATCCGCAGTCCCATCCCCCCGCCCACTCCCGCTGCAGCTCCTCGCTCTACCATGCAGTCTCACTCGTCCTACGTCTTCTCCGCCTCCACCTCCGCCTCTCTGTCTCTCCCGCTCACACTCGCCATCCAATAGCCTACCCCCACACACAAGCCCAGGAACACACTGCGAGAAGAGGGAGCAGGTAAGAAGTGACGAGCCTCGGAGGTAGACAGCGCACACCAGGACAAGAAAAAAACAATGATCGCAATCAAAGCCCGCCACCCTCGGACACGAGGGTTCCATCATCGCATCAGATGTCCCCTCCCCCCATCGACAAGCCCCAGAGTGAGCATCCACGACCAGCACACCCCCACGAAGGCATTTCGAGCTTTCCGCCCTAAGGCACACCTCGGAGACCACCACCAAACCCCAAGAAGCCCCCGAACGGCCCCAAGAAGCCCCTAGGATGCCCCAAAACAAGCCCCCAGGGCCCCCAAAACAGCCCCCAAGAGACCTCAAGAGGCTTCAACACTGCCTCCAAGAGACTCCCGAAACGCCTGCCAAGAAAACCACACCAACGCCGCATCGACAACGATCCCTCGGGCAAACAGAAGAGATGAGGCTACATGGGCCAGCGGAATGAGCGAAGCGATTAAGTAGATAGTCACAACTAACAGGATTCCTGGTAATTTCGCATATGTTCTGGGTTTTATCTTCCCCAACACTTCCCACATGTCCCATATCTTCCTGGGAATCGACGACTACCTGTGTCTGTGTGTTTTTCCACTCCTGATCTCACGCTGGGCACTGTCGCTCCGTTTCGGGCCCCGACCCTCACGGATCGACCCGGCTGGAGGAATACCGCAGAGCGACGGGGTCGTGGGTCTCGGCCGTGATGCGTCACAATGCAAAGGTCGGGCCGGGCGAAAGGGGGGGATAGCAACCCTGACCTTCCAGGAGGGCTAAACATAGCACCCGACTTAAATACCTATCCCAAAGCTATTATACGTCTTGGTTTTAGGCTGTTTCGCTCAGCTTTTTAAGTTGTTAGGTCTCCAGTGCTAACAAATAGCTCTCCGGAAGGTCAGGGAAAGGGGGGGGGGGGAGAATCAGCTCACGCAGCTGATTTTCCCGGCGCCGGAGGCGCCCATGCATCGAGGACTGGGCCCCTCGGTGGGGCCGAAACTAGCTGCATGCAGCAGATTTCGTAACCCCCCCTTTCCCAATCCCCCCGTTTCGTCCAGCCCGAGAAGAGGTCGCGAACCTGGGTTGGCCGAGCGCGAGATTGACCCAACAGGCAAGAGTGACCTCCAGTGCGCGGCCTTGCAGGGCAGCGAGGGGGGGAGCTCAGGGCATGCGGCCAGCGCCAGGGGGCCCCTGTGGGCCCGCACCACAAGTCACTCTGGCGAAGGATCACTTGTACGCCGAGTTGGGGATCTGGGGGGCCTCGGAGCGCCGGGAAGCTTCCGTGCGCTCGGAGGTGCTCAGGATGCCGTTCGTGGGTGTCCAGATTCTGCCAGGGGCGCCTAGAGAGGAAAGAAGGAAGAACCGGGAGGATGCTAGCGCTGCGAGGGCCCGATAGCACGTCGAAGAGCATGTGGAGATGTGGATGACGGAGGGAGGTGGGACGGAGGGGGAGGACGGACCAGGGAGCGGGGGAATGGCGTCAGGCTTGGGTTTGTTTCGCTGGGGTCCCAAAAAGGTTTCGGGGAACTGTGGCTGTGGGAGCTGACGAGGTGCTCCGATGCTTCTGGGAGGTTCCAAAGTTCTCCGGACGTTCGCCAACAGAAGAGGGGGGGGAGTGGAGGGGGAGGGTATGTAGGATGATGAGGAGGAGGCGGAGGAGGAGGAGGAGGAAGGGGAGGAGATCGAGGAGGAGGAGGAGGAGAAGGCAGAGGAGGAGGAGGAGGAGGAGGAGGAGGAGGAGGAGGAGAAGGAAAAGGAAGGGGGGATGAGTAGGAGGAATGAGAGGAGATAGAGGAGGAGGAGGAGGAGGAGGAGGAGGAGGAGGCGGAGGAGGAGGAGGAGGAGGCTGAAGAGGAGCCCAGCGTACCCAAGGAGGCTGAAGAGGAGGAACCCCCTAGGATCTGGAGCCTCCTGGCACGTTTTTTAAACGAACGCCCCCATCGTATTTGGTTCCTTCCCCCGGTCCCTCCCATTCAGTGCCATACAGTGAGGAGGCGCAGCGGAAGCGGGCCCAGCCTGAGCGCCATCCGGCCGGGGGTTGTGTAGCTGCCCTCGTCCACCGCGGCAGCCGAACGCCCCGTAGGGTCCGAGTGGATGGGGTCACAAGATCGCGCCGCATCGCCGATGCATCGGCATCGATGCACCGGCGACGTCTGCGCGAAGAAGATCGGGCTCCACATCGAGCTGCATAGGCGATGCATCGGCGACGCGGCCCGATCCTCCGACCCATCAACTCGGACCCCCTCTCGGAGGCCTAGACTTCGATAGTCGGACGGACTCAGGGGGCCGCTGTGGGAAGGGGGAGGGCCGCTTCGGGCGGGGCCACGTTCCAGCCGTGCAATGCCAGTAGTGTTGGGGGGGAGACCTCCCTTATGAACCCACAACAGCAGGTCTCTCTCCTGAGACCCGACGCAAAGAGAGAACAACAACAGCGCAGAGAAACGCGGCCAGAGCCCTGCAGACCCCTCTTGCTGCTGCCCTTTCCGAGCCGAACCGATCTGTGATAGCCCTGGGGCCCGGCGAGGAGAACACTGCAGCGCACAGATCCCCAGGCCTGGGCGAAGGCTCACACCAAGCGATCGATGTCGTGTTTTTTTTTAATACGGGGGTCCCCGGATGTCTCGACCCATTCCCCAGGACCGTTTTTTCATCCTGATCGACTGAATCGTTTCTTGACGCTCCCGTGGGCCCGGCGATGGCCGCTATAGAGGCCGAAAACCGAGAAACAACTCCGTCTCGATTTTTTTTCAAAACCTTGGAGGTCTGGGCAGCTGACTCCGGTCCTCCATGTTGGCGCTCGTGGGCGTGCCGAGCGGCCCGTGCGGCGGCACCGGAGCAGGGCTTCTCTCGCGCGCCGGCGGGCCTCCCAGGTAGGCCCCCCTCCCGAGCTGAGAGGGCTCCTGGGCCCTCGATCTCCGCGAGGAGGTCCTGGTGGTAGAGCGCGGGCGGGGAGCACGTAAGGACCTCGGCAACCGCTGACCCGCTCCAGGAGGGTGTTTGTTCCTTTACAGTCAAAGCGTATATTAAGGACGGGTGGTAAGGACGCAAGACCCTTGGAGGCTGAAGTTGGGATTTTTTTGGGCGGCGGCGACCAGTGAAAACGGCAAAGGGCGGGCCACAGAGGCAAGGACGCAAGGGCATCCTAGATGAAGGCGCGCGTCCTTACCAGGCGCGTTGACTGTATCGCTTGGGGCATAGGGCATCATAGGCCCCCTTCCCAGCCCACCCACATTTCCCTATAACGTAACGCCCCTCCCCCCCAGTGCGCTCCGGGCACTGCCGCCGTGCACATCGGGCACACGGCGGGGGGGAGGCGTTTACGTTGTACCCCCCCCTGGGCCCCGCCCCCCCCCCTACATCGGCGCTCCGAAAGTTTTTTCCGATTTGAAGAAAAAAAAAAAAAAGGCGCCGCGCGAATGCAGAGCAAACGCTGTGCTGGAAGGGCGCGGGAACGCGCGCCTCCTGGACAGGCGCGAGCAGCCGCGCCCCCGTGCGAACCCCGATCCCGCGCGGGGCGCGCTCCCGTTTGACAGTGGTTTACCCGGGAAACCGTTTCTTGTGCAGGAAGTCCTGCACGGTCGGCCCATCGGCGGCTCCTTCGGACGGGACCCGGAACCACCGAGAAACCGTTTGCCATCGGATATTCTAGACGGTTTGCCCTTCGCGCCCCCGTGCGAGCCCCGATCCCGCGCGGGGCGCGCTCCCGTTTCACAGTGGCTCACCCGGGAAAGCGTTTCTTGCGCAGGAAGTCCTGCACGGTCGGCCCATCGGCGGGTCCTTCGGACGAGACCCAAAACCACCGAGAAACCGTTTGCCATCGGATGTTCTAGGCGGTTTGCCCTTTTTCGGTTTCTTCGGAGTGGAACCGTAGACCTCGAGATCGATGTTTTTGGGAAAAAACCCCGGCCGTTCGCACATTTTCGGGTCGTTCGAACTGGACCCGAAATTCTTTGTTGGCACAAGTCCTAATGATTTGGCCACTTTCAGATAGGTCGATAAAATGTTCGGGTCGTCGCATGACCGAACCCGAAAGTCTTTTTCGAGGACGTCCGATGCCATTTGCTCATTTTGGTGTCCGTACACCGTTTGGGATTTAAAATTTTAAATTCCGAAGGGGCCCCCGAACCCGTGACCCCGGGCAGGGGTTGCGTTCTGCCCTTGCATTGTACTGGGCCCCTCCGGCCAAACGGGGCGCCGGGCTGCCCATCGGCGCGCCGACCCTGCCCTCGCGACATCGCCCCTATCCGCCCTCCGACCCCGCGAGTCTCATCCTGCGCGCGCCATCCCAGATGGCCCCAGCGAGCACGGTGGCGAAATTGGGGAAACTTTCGGAGCGCCGCAGTATAATGCTCATTATCGCCGAAAAACAAGGAAGGCGATCCAGACGTCCTCGCCGTCCTCGTGGTCGCCGTAGGCGTGTGGTCGTCGCCGCCAGTCTCGAGGGACGAGACCTTTGGGCGACCGTGGGGCCTCTATGGGAGCCCTCGTCACCATGGCTGGATGCCCCCGGTCGGAACGTCCTGCAGGAGAGGTGCTGACGACTAAATTGGAGGGGCGCGCCTCGCCGCCCCCGCCGTCGCCGCCACCGCCGCCGCCGTCGACGTCGCCGTCGCCGTCGCCGTCGCCGTCGCCGTCGCCGTCGCCGTCGCCGTCGTCGTCGTCGTCGTCGTCGTCGTCGTCGTCGTCGTCGTCGTCGTCGTCGTCGTCGTCGTCGTCGTCTTCGCGGTGGTATTCATCGCCCAAGCCCTGCGCCCTTGGCGCCTCGAGCACCTTGCCTCTGTGCGCATCGCCGCGTCCGGTGCTGCCAGTGGCGGGAGGGCCGAAGGTAGCCACTCGGCTCCGCACAGTAGCTGGCGGCAACCATCTACGGAAAGATCGCGTCGTCCCCCTCCTCCTCCTCCTCCTCCTCCTCGTCCTCCTCCTCCTCCTGAGGTCCTCCTCCTCCTCCTCCTCGACCTCTTCCTCCTCCTCCTTCTCCTCCTCCACCTCCTCTTGCACGTCGGCTTCCGACACTGCGTGGAGCGTTCAGCCTTCCGCGATCGCAGCTTTCCGATCGCGCGGATCGTTCGACGTCGGGCGATTCTGGGCCACTGGCGGCGCTCCAGCTTAGCGCCCGCGCTGGGGTCGCCGCCGCATCATCGCGGCGGAGATCTACCAACAGCAGACCTCTATATGCGCCCTCGCGCCAGAATTTGCTCCGCCTTTGGAGCCGCTGTAGATCTCCAGGATGGTCAAACGACGACCCCCGCGTCGGCGGCGTCGGCGACGACAGCGCCCCTCCCCTGAACACCCTCTGCGTAATTCCACGATCCCCCCCTGGGCATCGTCCTCACCCGTTTGTCGAGACACGTCCAACCATCGCGACCAAAAAACACATAGAAACTCACACCACTTGCGAGAAACCTCAATCAAGGTCGACAACGGCGGCGGCGGCGGAGAAAACAGCAGTAGCGAAGACGACAACCACAGTGGAGAAGACGACGACCGACGAAGACGACGACGACGACGACCATGACTAGCATCGACGACCTACGAGCGGCGACGACCTGGAAGCGACCGACGGCAGACAGCGACGAAGGCGAAAGCGAAGACAAGGACGGCGGCAACAGAGATGAAGCAGAGACCGACAACAATGAACACGACGACGACGGCGACGGCGATGACGATGACGATGACGACGGTGGCCGCTGCGGCGGCTGCTGGGGGGACAAAGAGGTACCTAATCCGCGAAGTACTCCGGGGACCTCTCCCGAGGTGCGGCCTGACCAAAACTTTAAGTCGGGCCTGTCCCCCTACAGGGGTATTTTCGACGAAAAAATAAATTATCCCAGTGCGACCCTACCTAGGAGTTGGAGCCTCTAGGAAAGCAACATTAGTAGGAGCAAGCAGCAATATATAGCAGCAGCAATAGTGTATGCAGCAATAGTGGATGTAGTACATCTGTATATATATGTACATCTAGCAGCAGCAATAGTGGATGCTGTGCTGCGCTATGTTATGTTATGCTATGCTATGCTATGCTATGCTATGCTGCGCAATGCTATGCTGGGCTAGGCTAGGCTAGGCTATGCTATGCTATGCTGCGCTATGCTATGCTGCGCTATGCTATGCTATGCTATGCTATGGTGTTGCTTTGCCTTCGCTTTTGCTTTCACTTTCACCGCCCGGGGCGATTTCCACTGCCCGGCCCCTTTAAGCCAAGAGAGTAAGAACCCTTCTAGGCAGAGCCTAGGTAGGGAAATACACACACATAAAATAACCCTCTAAGCAGAGCCTAGGTAGGGAACTACACCCATGCTATGATATGCGATGCTGCGCTATGCTATGCTACGTTATGCTATGCTATGCTGTGCTCTGCTATGCTAAAGCTCAGCGAAGCTAAGATGAAGGTAAGCTAAGCTAAGATAAAACAGAGGTAAGACGAAGCTAAGCTAAGGTAAGTTGACATAAGCTAAGCTAAGATGAGATAACCACGCTAAGCTAAGGGAACGTCACTGGGGGAACCGCGGGGCGGATGCCGGGGGAACCGCCCGGGGCGTGCCCCACTGCCCGGCCCTTCAAGCACACAGAGTAAGAACCCTTCTAGGCAGAGCCTAGGTAGGGAAATACCTCAAAAATAATTTAAAAACAAATAATCCAAAAATAGTCAGGGGACTATTTTTTGTTTTTTTTGCCTTTTGGGGCATTCTTGGGGTATTTTGCATTTTTCGTCGAAAATCCCCCTGTAGGGGGACACGCCCGACATGACCAAAACTTCGATGAGGATCCGGCGATGGCGACGAGGACTCTCCAGGACGAGCGCCGGCACCGGCACCTGCTCCCCCTCGGAGCTGGCGGCGGCGGTGACCACGAAGGCGACGGGGACGACGACGGCGGCGGCAGCTCGGGCCGGGCGAAAGGGGGGGATAGCAAAGAGGGGGGTTGAGAATCAGCTCA